CTAAAACTTAATGTAGTTTAGTGTTAAGACCTTTTAACCGCCGTGAGAGTTCGGGTTGCTTGGTGAAAACAGCGCCCCCTACAGTAACTGGATACGAAGGTCGCAATAACGCAATAAACTGATTGCCTGTTAGCTACTGTATTAGCAAGTATAATAGGTTGCTTTTTAAGTAATGCACCGTATGCAAATCTGAGCAACAAAAGCTTTAGTTTGTTACCAACTTGCCAGCCAACACAGCGCAACCCGTGAGCTCCAGCCCTGACTTACGGCAGACGTTATACAGCTAACATGAGCAACACACACTGCTTACACCACTGCTTACAGTCAAGTCAGCATTCACTCCTTGGAGAAGCAAAAAGCCCAAACCACAATAATACACATTCGCAACGACTTCATAGCACACAAAAAAGGCAATGATTCAATTTCACATGTTTACATCCACTGTTGTCTCTAGCTGAAGCCGTGCGTCAGGTGGTTAGCTAGTTTATCGAGAAAGCTAACTCACCAATTACGCCCCCAATTTTTCGTCTTTTGGTGGAATATTTACCTTTCCCGCTCCACGCGTGTCTTGGCTCAAGATTAAAAAGTTACGAGTCTCCTTAATTGATCACCGGACCGCATCAGAAAGTATTTTGTTTCAGTTATATCTCAGTCACGTAGCTACGTCGTCATCCATCCCAGAGCGGTGGACACATTTGTGCAACGTGAGCCCGGCATAGCATAACCACGCCCATTAAGCGATGATTGGGCAGGTGGGTTTTACATTTATTATTGGATTGGATAGCAAACCAGATGTAGGCGTGTCTGCCGCGGCATGTTTGTTGGGTGGCTTGCTGGCGATTCACGTGGATTCCCATGTTACGCAACCGAGAAACAACAAGCCTGAAGCACACTGTGCGAGCACTGACACTACCAGCCCGCTGCGTCCCCGCCCCTACCGCTAAATGAATGAACAGAGTCGTTGCATGGTCCAGCTGCTGCAGTGCACGTAGCAGGGAATTTGGACATTTGACTTCTTTTTGTTTGGTTAAATTGTTGTCAGTTATTGAACATCTTAGTAAAGTCTCTTAAGTAAAAAAAATAAAAAATAAAAATTACAAGAAAATGGGAGCTATCAGTAATTTTAATAGATTTTGTCATTAAGCAAATGAAAAGGAAGGCAAAGAATGCCACATACTTGTATATCCTTATTCATTAATTGTAAATAATATTATTTTACATTATATTTAAAAAATTTGCAACAATAATATGCAATCTAATTATTCTCAGTTGTCATGTTGATTATCTTTATGACACAATGACATTTGCTTGAAAGCACAACACTTGAGCAGCTGTTATATATTCTTTTACCACATCTTTATTGCAATTTGACTTTTTCAGTTAAATCTGCATTTAAATTAAACCTGAACTGAAAATTTCCCAATTCTGTAAAACCAAAATAAAATAATAATAAAATATATAATCGTTAGAACTGATGGGGTTATCCTAAAGACCTTCAAGTGAGTGGAACTGAGATGGAAAAAAGAGGAAGGAAACATGGGGGGGGAAAAAAACAACAAAAAAAAAAACAAAACAAAAAAACAACAAAAAACTCAACAGTACTTGTGTAAAAACTGCTGGACTGTACACCATTGTATGTCACACTGAAGGAATTTATCTTTAAATGACTCCAATAAAAATGATTTTGCCATCATGGCTCCTTTTGGAAAAAGGAATAGCTGGTGTTTGTTACGTCACAGATGAGAAAAATCAGAGGACACTTTGATTTAACATCAGTTTTATTCAAGCAAAAATAAATTTAGGGCCCACAGAGCAGAATTGCACATATTTCCACGTAAATTCCCAAAAGTGAAGCAAGGCTTGGAAGTTATAAGATCTTAAATTCTGTGGGG